TAGTAATTGGTTTGTTATCACTTGATATTGATCAAATTTTGACAGTCCCATAGTGATATTAATTAGCACTTGCATATAATGAAAGAACGGAAGAATAGCAGAGAAAAAGTACAAATAATAATTACAGCTTTAAACCTAACTAAGTAATAGCCATTGAGAAAGTTAGGGATAAGATGGATGAATAAGACATATGACTTCTCATAAAAGTCCATTCGCTACTGGCTACATATTGCATGTCTGTTTCAGACTTAATCAACTTTGTCCTTCTTCTCTATGCTTTGAATTAATTTCAAACCATCTCCAGGTATCTTTCATTAATGAAATAAAAGAAATTTCATCAACTATTCCTTTTATTCTAAAACTCATTGAATTTTGCAAAAGATTTTCCTGAATTTATCAATTTTTTCAGTAATCTTTCTCTAATTATACATATTAATTGTGTTTATTTACATGAAATTCATTCTTGTCAAAAAGTAAGCAAAATGACAAGAGAAGAAGGAAGAAGAGATGCATTTCCAAAAGTTTCAAACAAGTTAGACTAAACAAGTACAGCTATTAAGACCCTATAGATCGTAACTTGTTCTTAAATTCATTTAAAGTCTTGTTTAGAATGTAGTAGTCTAATAAAGTGCATCACGAAAGGCTGAATAATCTTGTATATCCTTATTACTTGATGATTCACACCTAATACGTTCAGCTTACTAACCTGCTGTATGAAATGTTATCTAAGGCCAATTGTGTCATCGATAAAATTTCCATTTTCAAGATTACTTCATATTTATGCCATGAATTAAAGCTTGTAAAAATCAATATGAAAGGATAATGTTTTATTTAAATTTTCTTTTTGGACAAATAGATGGTCATTCACTTATCATCACCTCCTTTTTATAAACTTTTGAAGAAATTTTATCATTACGTCAGCTGATTAAATGGTTTCAACAACAGAAATCTTCGGTTTGTCCTCTTTTTTGCACAAAATATGACACATTTCACAAAAATTATTCCATGACTATTTAGGATAATTAATTACTTTGGAATATGGAATACATCTCTTTGCAAGGAATATATAAATGAATCTTAATATTATATATAAATTATTAAGTGTAGAAGTAATTTTTCCGTGCATTTCTATCAATTTCTTCCATGGTCGCATTCTTTCTTTTTATAAAAAGCCATAATTAATTGATGTAAAGAAGAAATACCAATTAAAATTATATTATAACAGTATGACTCAATTAGTGAAATGAAAAGGAAAGAGTTAATATCTTCTTTTCTTAGTATTTGAATGAATCCATTCCGAAATTTTTTCCATTCATCTGTTTATTGTATCATATTGCGTTGTATTTTAATAGCATTGCATAGCAACCATTTGAAATTAACATTCTTCCTCCATTTACTCAATAACAGTCAATTTTAGAATTTTTGGTTTTGCTTGGAAAAGTTGAAATTGCTTAGTGTATGGGATAAAGTTTCATTTTACTGATTTCGTTCATAAGCATAATGGGAAATAAAACATTATGTTTTGGCTGGCAGTTTTCAGCAGTATTATCCCATTAGCCTAATCATCGGATAAGGAAAATGGCTAGAATCACAAGTTTGTTTGTGAATTTTCAACTGATAGATAGGATGGTACTGCCTTATTACTGTAAGGGATAAAGTGTTCCAAAACATTAATTAATCCTAACATTTATGAAGATTTTGACTTGTCGAATCTTTTCTCCCTCGATGTGCTTAAAGAAAAAAAAGTTTAAG